AGCTTTAAGCTCCACCAACAGTCAACAAGATACTTCCTCGTGCGATTGGGTCTAACCAGCAAAGATCATAAAATCATGGAGCTGGAAGAGGCCTCTGAGGCCATCGGGTCTAGTTAGGCATCCTTCAGTCTCGAGAGATGATGGTAACATGCTCTGAATAGAGGTCTTGGAACAACGTCTAGTGTGGCTGAGGAGGCCAATTCAAGAATGACAAAAAATCCCTTCCACACTGAAGACAAATCCAGTCTGTCCCCTGTCCATCTCCCTGGTTTTGCTGGTTTCGGGACTGCCTCTTGGCCTTGGCCTGCTGGACAAGGGTCTCTTCAAATTGGGAGAGGCTGTGATGCACCGCCTGCCTCCAGGCTGAACGCTCAGAAGTCAAAGTTTCCCATCTGTGGAGGTCCATTCCTAAGGCCTTCAGATCCTGCTTGCAGATATCCTTGGATCGCAGCTGGGGGTCTCCCTCTGGGGCTCTTTCCCTGCACTAATTCTCCATACAGGAGATCTTTTGTAATCCGACCATCAGCCATTCTCATGACATGCCCAAGACGTCGCTGTTTCAGAAATGTATACAATCTAAAAATTCCAGTTCATTCTAGGACTACTCTATTTGGAACTTTGTCCTGCTAGGTGATACTAAAAATGTGTTGGAGGCAAAGCATATGGAACATGTTCAGCTTCCTCTCCTGCTGTGCACAAAGGGTCCAGGACTCACTGCAGGACAGGAGTGTGCCCAGGATACAGGCTCTATAGACCTGGATCTTGGTCTATGACGTCAGCTTCTTATTAAGACAGACCCTCTTTGTGAGTCTAGCGAACATGGGAGCTGCTTTGCCAATGCGTTTATCCAGCTCAACATCTAGAGAGAGTGTGTGTCAGAGATTGTTGAGCCAAGGTACACAAAGTTGAGTCTAACCTCCTGCTCAAGGCAGGAATTCAAGCCAAAGCAGCTCTGACAGATGGTGGTCCAATTTTCTCTTGAACGCCTCCAGCGTTGGAGCGCTCACCACTTCCTGAGGTCATGAGTTCCGTTGTCATACTGCTCTAACAGTGAATAGGTTTCCCCCTGCTGTGTTTGATGATAGAGGACACCCCCCAGGCCCACAAGCTGGGGATGATAGTCACAGCTGTCCCACTCTTGGTCTACTGCATTTAATATTCAGTGACGTATATTGTCTCCATTTCGCTAGTAGGTCCAGCTAGTAGGTCACGAATCTATCATTCCCTTCAGCCTCATCTTTCCCCACAACTACTGCCCACCCTCTTCTTGTTGAAGGACTCTAGAAACTTGTAATCCACAAAACTAAGGAGTCCAAGTTCTGAGAGATACTGATTGCTATTGAAAATTAATCTGGTCCATGAGGGCTCAAAGCATCACTCACACTATGAGAAACACTTCCTTTGCACAGACCCCACCCATGATCTTAGGAACTATCTATCATTCATCCCATCATCCCTACAACATGCTCTCTGACAAAAGCAAAGTCCTGATGAATATCAATGCACCTTAGATCAAGCCAGGAGGCAGGCTTGAACCAGACAGTTCCTTCTCAACTGAGAGCCACGGCCCTGAAGGAAAGAAGCCACTCTCTTGCAGCAACAAAAGGACTTTGCAAAATCACAGTACAGGCAACAGAAGGTCAGGGTTAAAGGACAAAACAGAAATCTACAGCTGAGAACGCTACCCATGAGTCAGGGACACATATCAGGTGTTTCCTGGTAGCAAACCCGAGTGAAACAGCCCTTAAAAATGTGAATGAATTTGTGCAGAAGCTGCCTGGCTGAAGCTGCACAACCACCGATAAGAATCTCCCCATCCCCAGGAAGTGCCTTAGCCTTTATCCTCAATGGAAGAAACCTGTCGTGAAGTGTTAAAAGAGATATCTGGGAAATGAAAATTTCATGGCCTTGTTAAATATGAAACAGCAAACCAGGAGCCCAGATCACTTGTAACTATATTTAACCTCTGGATATACACATCGAATCCCCTCCATGCCTCTCTGTGTCATTGTGTCGGGATCTTTGGTCAATCAACTTCTGCAGGGTTTTATAGTGCTCCGGAACCCTACAAAACCACCATCATCATTATCTTAAAATTGCCGAGCTCTCTATTTGCCTGGAGGTCAAAATGGGCAAGGAAGAAACTTTAAGTGGCACAAACGTTGGTGGTAGCTTCTTCATCACGTTTTCCTTTACTTGAAAAAACTACCAACTCTATGCCTTCAAAGAGAGAGCTGTGGGAAGTGGCTGTCCATACCTCTGAAATGCCAGAAGGCTTCTCTCAACCTGGAACAGCAAAAGGAACTTGCACAAGTAAACGGTTAAAGCTCAGGACAGACGTGGTTTCTGTTCAAGGGGATGAAAGGCCCTCTGTAGCTTGCCAGGTGACATGGGACCAGGCTCTTACACATCTCCTGTGAACTACAAGAAGCCCTGTGCAGGGGACCTTCTCGGGGGGTAGGGGGTGGTTCTGGAGGTCTATTCCCAGCGTAGACACTAAGGGTCCCTTTAAATAGCACACAAAGCTCCTCTTCTTTTCATCTTACTGAGCATGAGGCCCATCCTTCACAAGCCAGCCTTTCAAACTCCAACCTTTGCCTTTCTATAAACACTAGTGAGCTTCCAAAAACTCCCCATCCTTACAGCCGGGCTGGGAGAGACGTCCCAGTAACTGTGCTGGCTACAGAACTGTCTTTATAATGCAGAGCAGAAATGAAGCATACGCTCTCTGCCACCAATCAGGGGAACCACAGCCCCGGGAGTGGGAGGTAGTACCCACTTCCCTCCTCACTGGAAGGCTGCATATCTCACAGCTCAGTGAGGCTCATTCCAGGGCACTTCAGAGGAAGACCATCTCCAGTGTGACTCCCACGACATCAACGGTGTCCCTGCCAAGGTAAAGCAGCTGCCCAGCTTTGCCCACCTCTCCTGCCAGCTGAAGATCTATCAGCTTACACAGGTTTATTCTTCTGATTATGCTCCTGATTGTTATTACTGTCAGTCGCCATAGTTTCTATGATTTGTTTTTCAGGCACTGCATTCTTTACAAGGATAACAAGGAATGTGTATTTTTAAAGACACAGCCGTGTGAAGTCTATCGCATCCTGTGATACCTTTAAATCTGCATCTGAAGAAAAGAGGTGCAGTCTACAGAAGTTTACACCAAAATACAACTTGTTAGAGGAAACAGAATTAATAAAAGTAGAGGAATACAAGAACTAGGGAAAGGAGGACTGCTTATCATGTAAACCTCGCCATGTCAACAGTGCAAGACTCAGGTCTCCAAACTCGCAATGGCCAAAAAAAACCAAAAAACAAACAAACACCCGACCAACAACCTTGTTTTGTTGTTGTTGTTGATGAAGATGATGCAACAATCCTAGTAAAAATGTTCACTTTTATTTGAACTTCCTTTCTCCTAACCTTCACATGTTTCACCTCAATGAAACGACAATAAGGGGAAATCCTGAGCACCAGAAGAGCAAAAAGGGACTGAGGTTCAGCACTTGGTGGGATCAAATGTATTGCCTCCTCAGTGGGTTGTATTTCAGACTGAAAATACATGACCTCTAAGTGCCCAATACGGACGAGACCTCTTAACGGCAGCTTCTACGGATCTCTTTCAAATCAGATGACAAAATCTGTTTTGGGTTGGACAGTGGGAACGTTTTGAGGACAAAACACCTAGTCTACACAGTTGGGTTGGCGCGGGTTTGATAGGGTCACTAAGAGGTCTAGTATGTCATTTGGTGACATTCTGGCATCCAAATGGCAGACAGATCTCAAGTGACCTTATTTGGCCCACTTTTTGTAAAAGCGTATGTGTATTAGGTACATGTATTGAGAACAGGGCATTTTGGAGATCATTCATTCATAGGACCACCATAAATCAGAAGCAACTTGATAGCACAAAAAATAAAAACAATTACAAATTACAATGTACCAAATACACTTCTTTTAAAGGTCTGGTCAAGAGTCTGCTGCAGCCTATTACACACAACTCATATATATGAATACTTGTGCTTCCTTCCTTTGTCTTAAAGGGCTGGTCGAGAAACTGCTACGGCCACAGTTTTGGCTCTGGACAGTTTCTCAGCCAGCCCTTTAAGACGAGAGAAAGATTCTTTTTATTTTTCGTAAGTGACACAGTACATTTTTGCTGCTCTAAGGGACACTAAAAAAATTACTTCCTTTGTCCACACTCCCGCTTGCCAAGGAGCAGAGGAAGCGTTTAATTAGTCAATAGCCTGGGGTGGCTCTATTAAGAAACTTCACGACATTGCCAGATCCCAAAAATGGAAGGCCTTTGGTTTGTTCCCAGCGATCACACATGCTGGAAACAGACCAAAAGAGAGCACCGCCTACCCACACAAAAAGAGCAGAAGCCCCTGACAGGGGCCAGAAGGTAGGGGTAAGGACTCCTCTGGGGATGGTCCAGTTCCCTTCAGCAAAGATGTCGTCCGATCCTCATCTTTAGAAGTGAACTAGCCCATTCCCTACAGTGGATTAAACAATGGACTAACCCCATATGTAGTCAGCCTCAAAATAACCCAACCTCATGTAAGGCACCCTGAGTAATATAAAGGTTCCCCTTGATATTTAGTCCAGTCATGTCCGACTCTAGGGTGCGGTGCTCATCCCCGTTTCCAAGCCATAGAGCCAGCATTTGTCCGAAGACAGTTTCCGTGGTCACATGGCCAGCGCGACTAGACATGGAAAACTGTCACCTTCCCACCAAAAAGGTACCTATTTATCTACTCGCATTTTTACATGCTTTCAAACTGCTAGGTTGGCAAGGAGCTGGGACAAGCGACGGGAGCTCACTTTGTTGCGTGGATTCGATCTTAGGACGGCTGGTCTTCTGACCTTGCAGAACAGAGGCTTTTGCTGTTTAACCCGCAGCGCCACCACAGAACAGGAGTGAGTAATATGGAGGAAGGGTATTTTACAAAGATGAGAGATATATCTCGACATTCAGGTGGTTGGCTTTCACAACTTACTTCATCATTATCTTCCTTCTCTTCATCATCAGACTCGGCACTGTCATCCACGGGCTCATCTAGAAGAAAGAAAGAAAGAACAGGAGTAAGAGAAAATATGCACGTCTATGTCCTCCCTCTTCATTTGCAGATTTGACCAGTGCTTCTCTGCTTAAAACATATTTTCTGATACCAATGGAACCCTAGTGTTATTCTGACTCACTTTGGACATGATCCTGCAGGTTTGTCTTCTTGTCTGGCCCCATAATTGTCATAACTTCTGGAAGGATGGGGTGAAAACCAAATGCTAAGATGTTCTCACCCTTTTGCACTGGATGCCTAAATGGGGGCAGGGACTGGAGGATTACCATGATTGTAGACAAGCTGTCACAGAGCTGTCCCTCAGGTCACAATGTAATGCAGCTCCACAACAAAGTGGTTGTGTAGCAATCTGGTTGGTTGCCAAAATGCATGCCACTACAAGATTTCCAACTCTGGGATAGGAACCATGTGCAAAAATGCACAGCGAACAGCAATCAGCTATGTGGTAGCACAATCACACCACTGGATTGTGGGCTGGATGATGGCCAAGATGGCATCACCAAAGCCACAGTCCTCTCCTGGAGATAAGCTGAACTGAATCACTGAGACCTACGTAGAAGTAAACATAAGATTACAGCTCTACTCTACAGTTCTACAGATCTTGTCTGTTGTGAGCCACCCAGAGTAGACAATATCTAGATTGGAGGCATATAAGTGCAATAAATAAATAAATACTCTTAAGAACACTTATTTGGAAGTATGCTCTCTTGAACTCAGTGGGGTTTACGTCCAAGTACACGCAACTGGAAGTAAGTTAAAATAAAATCAGCGGATATCACTTCTAAGTAAAAGTGGTTAGAGCTGCATTGTAAAAGGTCACGTGAATTGACCTGGCCATATGGATGCTCCCAGGTCTCCAATTCTGCTCCACATCTTGTTCTCCTCTGAATCAAAACAACACCAAGATTTTAAAGAACTTTTTCTCACATTGTTTGCAGCCTAGATAACAAACCACATGTCTCTCTGACCTGATTTAAGCTGCTTGATAATAAACTCAATCTGCTGGATCATGTCGGCGTTTCCTTCCTCAGTGTAGCACCGCAGAATGTCTTCCATTTCCTGGATGGGTTGGAAAACAAAGCTGTGTCAGTGGCTCATATGGGTGACCCCGGCACAGGGTCACATCACTGTTGACAATAAGAGCATGGCTGCGAAGCAGCTGCATCCAACGGCAGGCGTCCTGTCCCGTCCTGTCCACCCACAAGCACAATCGTCTGCTAAGAGGAAAAAAAGAAGCCTTCCACAACATCCACAACAGACAGATTTTGGCAGCCTGAACCAAGCCCAAGAATGATTTAAGGCTGTCTTTCTGACTCCCAAGCACGAGGAGAACAGAAGAGCCACTGTGATCTGGAGGGCAAGGCAATCCACAGGCATTCAAAGCCTGAATCCTAGGTCTAGGGACTCCATCTGCACAGTAGAAAAAGGGTGACTGTTAGGTAAAGGTTCCCCTTGACACTTAGTCCAGTCGTGTCCGACTCTAGGGTGCGGCGCTCATCCCCATCCCCAAGACGTAGAGCCAGCGTTTGTCCGAAGACAGTTTCCGTGGTCACATGGCCAGCGCGACCAGACACGGAACACTTCCCTCTGAGGTGGTAGCTATTTATCGACTCACATTTTTCCATGCTTTCGAACGGCTAGGTTGGCAAGAGCTGGGACAAACGATGGGAGCTCCCTCCATCGCGGGGATTTGATCTTACGACTGCTGGTCTTCTGACCTTGCAGCACAGAGGCTTCTGCAATTTATCCCGCAGCGCCACCACGTTCTTAGTGTGACTGTTACACCAGATCAAATTGATAATGGGAGTATTCTGTCTTCGGGTTCTATCTGCCTCATTCCTTCAAGACAGTACGGACAGATCATTAATTCAATGCACAGAAGATTGTGCAGGGAGAGCGAAAAAGAGTAAGATCTGATGTTCACCTCCACAAGGTAAAGAGCTCTAGCATTACAACGCATGCATCTATTGGATAACCGTTAGCCTACAGAATATGCAAGAGAGACACAGGGACTACAGCAATACACCCGTCTGAATGAGCAGCATTCAGTACAGCTTGGCAGCTAGCAACCATGTAAGGAGCTGGGATGGCTCAGGAAGGCAAGGGTAATAGGCAGAGAGGACTCGCTCTTCCCTCCACCCTCCTCATTCAGCCTGGACCTGAAAACTACCACAGCAAGTGAGATCTGCCATTTCTAGTCGACCTGATGCTAAGACTGGGTCTGAAAAGGAGGCAGGCCACAGAGTTTGCTGATGCTCCAGCTTTTCTGTTAACGAATGCTGTGAATGCCTGCCCTGTTATGCCTCAGCCTTCAAATATCTCTGCAAGCATCCTTTGCACCACAAAAAGGCTGTTCAACCCCCCCCTCCCGTGACCTGCTTCTCAAGAAAAGGAACCCCAAGTCGTCTCCAGAAATGGGGATTATCAACAAATGCACAGAAGCAGTGAGCTAGTCTTTGAATTTCACAGACCTCTTCCTTGGGATCCATGGTAAAAATATAAAAGGGGAGAAAAGTGGGGGGGGGGACATAAAAGCAATATGATTGTTTTGTGGTATTATGTGGTTCTGACACAGGTTAAACTGTTCCTGGTTTGAAACCCTAACCCACCCCTCCCATGGATAAACACTTGAAATGTTTGCCTGTTAGGAAAACTTGGTTCTTTTGGCAGG